GTCTCAACATGGATTCGGCATACCTTCTTGGGCGGTATTTCGAAGTTCATGCCCAATGATAACGTTTCCAGTTACTTTCTACCCAAGAGTACTGACGACAAGTTGTATACATGTCTGAGTAATTCGCCAGAAAACATGGCTTCATTTTTTGCATTCTTAAGAAATCTCTGCTACGCCTTGGCTAGTTCCCTCTTCCTTCTGTCAACGACGGTTTTGCAAAAGTTCGTGAACTTTATACGGCAAACCAATGATAGCTGGTCAGCGATCATCACACGGCGTTGATGTGTCTCTATCAATTGAGAGAGCTCTGGTAGCCTCCTCCAAAAAGGAGTTATCGAGCCGCTTCCGATTCGTGTTGGTAGGTCTCAGTTGGTTCCGACGCAGCAACGTACAAACCTGTCGAGGATATCGAGCGTTGCGTTTCCACTAAGATAGAAAACGAATTCGCATTTTTTCCTCTGGAAATCTTGCATTTCAGTGTTATTAGTCCCTCAAGGAGTTTCATAGTATCGGTAGGGAGCTTTCGTCTCTGGAATTTTCAGCATTGTGTTCCCTGTATCAGTCTGAACAAAACAATAAGAAGACGAGCACTGCAGCACTGCAGCATGGCATCATTTCGTTTTATCCTATCACTTGCAACAACAACACGTGAGAGAAGAAAACAATCGTTTTGATTTAGTCGGATAAAAGACATGCAGATACAAAACAACAGATGGTTGAGTTGGGACAACGGCCATGAACACCAAGAAAGCTTAAGCACTACTGTTAGTTGCTTTTAAACATATAGTAAGACTACAGGGAACTCAATACTTTAAATGGGAAGATGGTTGTTACGTTCGACCACGGGTGCCTTCGCAGCTTAACTCCTACAATCCCACCTGCTATGGCGACCAGGCGAAGTCATCCCCGGTGACAACCGCCGTGCTAGCTTGTTTCCGAAGGATTTTCAGTTTACACGGAATCCCGGATGTTCTCTCATCCGACTTTGTCTCTCAGTTTACGTCGTCGGTGCTTGCAGAATTGTGCATCTACTACTTCCTCCCATATACCGCCATCTTACTAGCACTTTATCTTCATACATCCGACAGAGTGAGGGTCTATGGCAAGCTTTCTTCGCAATTTGCTCTCAATAGCGGTGTGCGACAGGGCTGCCCTATGTCTCCATTCCTCTTCAACTTCGCAATCGAAGACGTTCTGTCGAATGCCCTAGAAGGTTTCCAACATTTTGGCTTAGAGCTTCTACCGGGTGAACGCGCGACCGACTTAGATTATGCTGATGATATCGCCTTATTTGGTGACGATCCTCGGAGTATGCAACTCATTCTGGATCGTTTGGTGGTTGAAGCATCTAAGTATGGCATGAGCTTCGCCCCATCGAAGTGTAAAGTACTGCTCAAGGATTGGCTTTTACTTGCACCCGTGCTCACTCTCGAAGGTGCACAACTTGAACAGGTAGATAGTTTCGTCTACCTTGGGAGCTGTGTTTCTGCTGACGGCACTATTAACAAAGAAGTTTCTCTTCGTATCGCTAAAGCTCGATCAGCATTTGTCAATCTGAGGCACTTGTGGCGTCGTCGCGACGTCTCATTCTCACTAAAGGGCCGAGTTTACGGCGCGTCAGTTCGCTCAGTATTGTTGTATGGTTGCGAGTCCTGGCCGATTCGCGTGGAAGACATGCGTCGTCTTTCTGCCTTCGATAACGGTTGCTTAAGGAGGATCGCTCGTGTTTGGTGGCAACATTGAGTTACCAGTAATGACGTTCGACGTCGCATCTTGGGGAATGCAAGTATTCCCTTCAACAAACTGATTTTGTTGCGCCAGTTAAGATGGCTCGGTCATGTCCTACGCATGGCACCTGAGCGTCTACCGCGTCGCGCTCTATTCGCTCGTCAAGGACCTGGCTGAAGGCGACCGCGTGGTGGTCAGCCTTCCACTTGGTGACGGCACATGAAATCGCTGACGTCGTGTCTAGCCGCTGTTGGATCCGCACGTCTTCCAGGATGGGGACCCAAAGATGAGGAGTGCCAATGGCTTAGGACTCTTGAAGACATGGCCCGCAACCGGAACCAGTGGAAGAATTGTGTACAGTGTTGTATTGATTCACAAGTTTAATTTTACTAATATTGAAAATGACAAAAAAGGAGAAAAATCGGCGTGTGACATCCAAACTAAAAATGTTTTGTTCTGTATTTTTGTCAAAATATTCCATTTTCTTGCGACATATTAGCTGAAGTGTGTTGCCCACCTTCAACTAGCATGCCACGACGATTATGACGCAATGACTGTCTCTTATCCACTGATTTCCGTGGCTTTGTTGGCTCTATGTCTAGTTACTAGACTGTTGAGATCAATCAATCAATCAATCAATCACTTCCTCCCACCGCCAGGTGTGAACCAAACTGCGGAGGCGCGCGTTTTTGAACGCGATTAGCCTGTTTATATTCGTCAGTCTGACTGGCCCTTGGGACAATAACGGATATAGAATAGTGGAAGCTGCTTCCCGTAGCTTTGATGAAAACATTTAACTGTACATACGACATTACGTTGCCTGAATTCTTTGACAGAATGCAGTTTGCGTAACACTCGGACCCCGATGGGTTAGATGTCACCAGAAGTAGCCGGTCGCGCCGATCATAACCGGCCTGTGCCATTTTAATTTGGAATATTTCCGCGTGTATGCAATACCAGTTATCAGAACAGACACCGATGCTACGATCGAAAATAATATTTGACTATTTAAATCCTGATGGATTAGCATACAGGCGGGGCCTTTAAGTTGGCCATTGTCCTTTTTTGACGAACATCACTTGTACGTTATGTACCGTAGTTAACACAGTTTTGCAAGAATAGTCTGACAAATTCTTTCTTCAAACAATTTCCAGCATAGATAACGCCCATAGTAACGTAGGAAAACGCGGTTGCAATGAGAGCTCTTTTCGGTAACTCACATCAGACAAATACGTTTCCAAGGATTACTTGAATAAGCATAAGTTAATGAGAGCTCAAACGAAACTAGTAGAAAGTCTAAACTAGCTCAGTTTATTCGAACGGTTATTTTTCTACTTTTATTAAAAAAAACCCAATGGTTCGTGAACGCAGTGAGCCTGTCATCACAGTTCCAAAAAAAGAATGTGTTTCTCACCGTTCCTTTTAAGGCTGACATTGCTTTCGATATACTGAATAGGTTTTCCACTGCAGTGACAAGAACTTATCCAGCCACGGATTCACACATTCTTGCTGAGATCACTCCATTTGTTACTCAGCGTCTTAAAGATAGATTACCGGCCAACTCCGAATCGCACGTGGTATGTCAATTTACTTTCACATGTGGTACTTAGTACCTCGGACATACAACCAGGCGTCTGTCAACACGGATAGCTGAGCACTGTCCCGGGTCTCTACGAGAAGACTGCCGGAACTATCACAAGTTCCACCCCTGAACATCTGGTTCAAAGTGGACACGAAATTCTGACCACTGATGCTTTCAACGTTTTCCACACCGTGCCAAAACAATATCTTAAGGGGCTTAGGAGACACCTTAAGATTGCCGGATCGACAGTGATCCATTTAACGCAACCGGAGCTTTGCAAGCAAAGGGTGTTATTGCAATCTCTCACGTTACCGTGACCGTGATCAGGATCCATAAACATGGAACATTGATGTGACTGAAGGTTGCGTCACTTCGCGACTGACCCAATTTCCTTTGCGATGAGGTCAGCGAGTTTTGTCAAGTGGGGTCAAATAAGGTCAGCTTCCATCAGCAACACTGGTTCTACCACTTAGGCCGATTAAGTTAACTTCCGTTTGAATAAATTGAGCTCGTTCAGACTCTACTACTTTCGATCCAGCTTTCATTAGCTTATCCAATTTGACTGATGTGAGTTTCCGAAAAGAGACAACTTTGAAACCGCGTTTTCTTAGTTTCCAACGTCACTGAGACCATCCTACTCTATCTGCCTATTGAATACAAATGCTAGGATACTCCGCACTATTACAGGCTTATCTCTTTTAGGTCAACTGAAACCAGTTATGAAGAAAATTTTTAATACAGCTGCCCTGTTTACTGAATGCACATCTCGGGGATTCTGTCCAACGTTGTACGATCGTGGACTCTACCAGCGGGGGGGGGGGTTCATTTGCGCCTTTAACTGCTGCATTGTCTTGCTAAGCGTTTTCTGTGCCTACTCGAAATAACCTAGCGTCCACTGGTAAACTACTATCATTCCTGCGCTGATGATGTCACCTTGAATTGTACTACAACGTTTGCAATCAGGTTTCCATCCCGGCGAACACCACAGGAAATTAAGATTCTACAATTGGATGCTTGATCATTTTTACCACTTAGCCTGATCACCTACCTTTTGTACAAATTCAGTAACAGTGAGTCTCTGCAACTAATTCCCCACATCGCATTTCCCGTCATTTGTTGACCGCTCCATTTTCCAAGATATGTAATCAATTCATGACTCACATATTTAGGTCTTCAGACTTGCAGAGACCGTGGATTTCGTGATAGAAACTGCTTTTTTGGCGCTGTTATCGACACACAACCTTTTACCTTTTTGCCTTCTTCTACTTGCCTATCTCCGTCGGGGAACATCTATCAGAATGTCATATTTCACCCTGTGTTCGCTCTTCCAATCGTTTATTTCTGATATCTTTTCCTCATGACTACCACTGGATCGTATCCCAACAAGATTTTCGCGTCCTCAGTATGAACCGCTACAATTCATCGCTCTAAATATTCGGTGTGGACAGGTGTCTGTTGCTATCTTACTTTAGTTGTGTGGCAGTTACGCGTTCTTTCCTCTGATCTGCTTCACCAACGCCCAGCAATTCGGTTGATCGTTGGCGAACTCTGGTTGTGCTATTCGTTACTTCGTCTCGATTTTGCCTCCACTTATCTTCGTGTTTTTTGTTTCGACTTGCACTTATGTTATTCACTTACTCATCGGTGAATTGTAGGTTCTTTGATGATCTTGCTGTTCCCCTCTTCTCAGCTTTATCAAAAACATGTATGCGATTGTCTGGCCAACTTGGGTGAGCAAGCCGCCGTTTCACAAGGTGTGGAGTCACATCGCATACAGGGGAAAGGACCTGGCGTCTCACACGTAATCGTACGCAGCGGTGAGGCATCTCACGATCCTCGTCACACCGATCAGACTATGTATTCTTGCGGATCTCTCGCGCCAAAGCTTAAAAAAGGTAAATTTTCTTATATTTATGGCCCCACCACCATTGTGTGGCTTCTGTCTTAACCTCTTGTCACATTTAGCGGTAGCAGTACCACACAACCAACTGTAGGTGGTGCTGGAATTTGTGCGAAACTCATGTGTCGCCAGCTCTCTGGCCTTCTACTTATCCTTATGTGTATGAGCTTTTTGTTTTTAAAGGAACCCGTAGCTTCATTATTTCACTATATGCGATGCTTCGGGAGTATTCACTTCCGCCCCCATTATTTTTAATTATGCGGTTGTTTGAGCTAGATGTTGCAATTTCAGGTGCGATTTGAGAAGAATTCATAAGCTTTTTCTGTATATTATGCTTTCACTGCGCTGAGAACATTGTTCATGGTGGGGATTAATTTCCACTGTGTTGATATCTATGTTTGTTGCACTGTCAGGAGTCATGTCTCCGGACACTAGGTATCCTGGTATACGGTGATTCTCTTGCAATGTCAGGGGAGATATCTGTTTGCACTGTGCAAAATATAACTGGACGCGTCGGGCTATGATGGAGGTCGTGACTTGACAGGGAAGCTTGGTTGATTAAAAAGCTCGGAAATTTTAGGGGACAGAAACCACGGCTAACTGCCATAAGGCTTTCAACTAAACTTTGTATCTCTGTTTTCACTAACCGGGACTCGTCGGGTGGCACACTGTCAGATACATTTCTATTACCTTCCATTGTCTTAACCGTTTATTGTTCAGTTAACGTTCGGAAACCACTCTTATCTGGTTCTCCAAACACAGTTACAGATATGTGTTTTGTACGCCAGTAGTCCAGGCTCTCTCGTGCCCCCCCCCCCGTAATTGTGGATGCTAGTGTGCTCTTTCGTTGAGTTGATTCGCTCGTCGGTGGGTCATTTGATCCTACTCGCGAAACGGAACATTTGACGAGATTTATGGGCAGCTGCTACAAGACGGACCAGTCCCATAGTCTATTTAGAACCCTTCGTAGAGCCAGTGGTCCACCAGATTCATTCACTGTGAATCAGAACTATTAGTCGTCCGCGAAAATTAGGGATGGCACTCCCAGTTCGTCGGGCAAGTCATTAACGAACAAAGTGAATAGCAGTGGGCCAAGGGCCGACCCTTGCGAGACACCGCAGTGAACACACTGATTGAACGACAGGCTAAAACCCACACAAACACACATCCCTCTTCCGGTTAAAAAAGCTGAAATCCATTGCAAAATTGGTCCAGAGATGCCATTGGTCTGCAGCTTGTATAAAAGCGAAATTGCGTAACGGTACCAAAAGCTCTGTAAAAGTCGATGAACACTACGCCCATTGCTCTTCCTTGATCAACCGCTTCGGCCTAAGGTTCGCGAGCCACTAATTAGTCCCTAAGAAGAGGCCGGACCTTAACCTGGTGTGTTCGTTTGCGTACCTCGTCGATCCATTGAGCTATACTGGGTGGGGCACTTGGTCCTCTTAAGAGCCACTACTACCAGGTTGGTCAATGGTTAGTGATCAGACGAACTCAGTCTCCTGGTCCTCCAGGTTGGAGGTTTGAAATGGGATGGCGTCCATTTCTGTATAACCGAATCGTTTTACATCCGCTGCCTTGCAGACAGGCTTTTGAGCCAAAAGCTTTGGTTGTGGACCCCAATCGTCCTGCTTTCGAGGTCTGGCCATCCTGGCAGTATCTCAGTCCACGTACATCCATGACCGCTTCTGTAAACCTCATTCATATTCTACATCGGCCGTCGAGCAACTTATCAAGGGTCACTTTATCTGCTGCATACAGCAGGACGGATAGGCGAAAACATGCTACTGCTGGCACCTCTCTTCTTTTCTTTCCAACTGTTTCTCTTATTCCTCACCCCTTAACTCGCCTTCCTCCTGTAATTCCCAGTTTACTTGACAGCAACCGCAATGTCATTGGAATCACACCATCTGCAGCTATGTTCCCGTACCATCCACTGGGCACTGATTGCTAACAGCTTCTTAAAAATCCACACTATCCTATTTTTCTGGTGGCGTTCAACGTTCGCACTCTAAGACAAGTGGATCAGCAAGCTGCACTCGCACGCACGTTAGACACGCTACGTATTGACGTGTGTTGGGTGTTTGTAACTAGGATTAATGTTGCTCACGGAGTTGTTGAATTAACTGCACCCGATTTGTCCTCTCCCTGTTAGTTGCACGCGTCCGGAGACGCTGATGCGGCAACCACTGGTCAAGCTGGAGTGGGGATTGTTTTCAGCTCCAAGGGTGAGTCATCGTTGGTTTGTGGGATTCCCGTGAGCAGCCATTTGTGTACACTCTATTTGACGACATCAACTAAAGTTGGTTAACGGAGTTGCACTAGGCGCTTTTTGTTTGTGGTTTTCGCTTATGCCCCCATCGAATGCAGCTCTGCCGCTGCGAAAGATGCTTTCTACCATGAACTGAACACGTTACTACACATGGTTACCAGTTCAGATATCATAAATCTTGCATCATCATTATACACTTTAGCTGCCGGTGGGGAACACCCCAGTTATTGTGCCGTAACACATTAAAAAAGAAGGATAGACGTGCAACAGAGTCGCGCCGGCTGAGTCATCAGTAACGGATGGACATCATTCCGGAGAGCTAACAGCCGGCTATTGTGCCGAAAGAAGTCATATGCCTAATAATTGAGATCGTGATTGAAGGGAAAGGGACAACGAAACTCACAACACAAACGCCATTGAGGTCGGTTTCTAGCCATGTCAAGAAGTGTATCCAGCCAAACGCGTTCATCGTCTTTCGGTACCCAACCAGGGAGCCGAGAGGCTCCAACCGAAGCCAGCTTCGAAGTAATGACCTTAATTTCTCTTGACCAAGTCATCTTTTGTCCACCTCTCCTCTTCTTCTATCCGTACACCTGGCGCGCTAACAACACGTCGCGAGAGTCGGTGTGCTGGCATAGGCAACACGTGGCCCAGTCATCGGAGCCTGGGGGGGTGATGGAATGGCGATGAGCGGTTCACTCGCTCTTCCTGCACTAAATACGCGACGCCCAACATGCTCATTACCCATGCAGTGCTCCCACCAGACACGAGCTAAGCTGCGAAGACAACGATGGTCCAGCGTGACTAGACTATTTATGTCGGTCAACCTGATGGGCCAGATTTCACAATCGTACAAGAGGGTTGCATGGACAGCTACATTATAAACTATGGCCTTCAGGGCGATTGTGATTTCTCGTCTGCGCAACAGGTGGCGAAGATTGGTAAGGGCAGGTCGAGCTTTTGCTATACGGTTCCTAATCTCATCTTCGATCCCACGGGCGCTCATATAGCAACCCAGGTACTTGAATTCCTGAAGTACTTCTAGCTGATCACCACCATAAGTCAGCGCAAAGGTTTGTCCCTGCCAATCTTGGAGAACTACTCTGCAATTCGATGGAGCAAAGCAAAACTCAAAACGATTGACAGCCAGTGCTAAGGGGTCCAGTGCTGCCTGACACGTCTAGGAGCTGTCACAGATGAGGGCAATATCGTCCGCGTACTCCAAGTTAAGAAGTCGCTCAACACCTTTACACCCTTTACACCTAGGTCGTGTCGAGTGAGCGCTCTTTCTATGACTTCGGCAATAGCAAAGTTACATAGGAAAACTGACAGCGAGGCACCTTGTCTCACACTGCTTTAGATATTGAAGGGTGGCGACAGTTCACCATGCGCCTTCACTCTGTCCGAACTGTGCTCGTGCAGCGCTTTGATAACGTTTACGTAATTATCGGGCACACGTTTCCTCACCAGACTGTACCAAAGGGCACATCGATCAGCTGAATCGTAGGCACCTTTGTTGTCGGGAAACACAACTGCGGTGGGTCTCCAAAAACATGGTAGTGCTCCAACAACTGACGCAAAGTGAAGATATGGTCGATGCAGCCCCGATCTCGACGAAACCCGACTTGCTCTTCACGAATCTGGCTTTCGCGAGTGACAGTCAATCTGTGAAGGATTGCAGAGACAAGTAATTTGGAGGCAGTGGAGATCAGACTGACTCCTCTGTGGTTACTGCGTTCCGACCGTGAGCCTCCCTTGAAAATTGGGACTATGACAAAGCGGTTCCAGTTTGTGGTGACAGTTTCCTGCTCCCAATTTTCACTAGGAACTAGTGTAAATCATTTACTAGAGCAGATCGCTTGCATTTGAAGAGAGATGGGGCAGTTCTATCTGTCCTTGCGGTCTTACGCAATTTCAACAGTCTGGTCTCACATTTTACTTCTGCGCGTGAAGGCGGATCTAAGGCGACGGCGCATGGAGAAGGGCACTTAGTGCCCGAAAAAGAAAGTGGTTATTTAGGTTGTTTAAACTGCCTTGCACATTGTTCGGCCCAGCGCTCCAAGCGTTTTGACAGTCTGTGGATCGGCTGTCCACTCATCGCGTATTGTTTCGCTAACAACAGCTCTTTTGCTGCCTGTTTCCTGTATCAGGCGGAATAACTCCGAATGGTTGCCTACGGCAGCGGTTGTTTCCATTTCCGTTGCACGATGAGACCACCAGGCTTCGTGGTCTCTCCTCAGGCTAGCACACTGTCTTGCCCTGGGATTTTCGCGAGTTTCATTGCATTCGCTTCCAGCCGGAATACGTCGACGAGCATCCAGAGACTTTGTAGAGACTTATTGTCTATGTTGGCCATTTTATTTGCTTCTTGAAGACATGTCTGCTTATAGTAACTTTTGAGGTGTATACAACCGGTGCTCTTCGACTGTGTTCAGTGGGCGCTTACTCAGTCCGGATGTCAGCATACTTTAATACGCATTCAGAACACCTGGCTTCGCCAGTTGGCTGATGTCTATGCGGTCAGAGCGATGTTGCGGACGTCCGCCAAAACGCACCCGAAGGTCGGCATACACAGGCGAGATTGAAGTTCACGCTCGTACCCCAAATGGAGCGACAATCTTGGACGAAGCATCACCAGCGATAAGTGATTGCGATGTGATCGACTAACACCTGTGGCTGATGGGCACCAAAGCACTCTACTGTGGGTGATTTATTGATAATGC